CTCTCTCTCTCTCTCTTTCTCTTTCTTTCTTTTCCATTTCTAATCTCCGATAACCAGCCCCTGGCTCTTGGCATGGCCAGCGTGGCTCAAGCAGAGCGGTCTTGTGCTCTGCGAGGCAGGCGTCGTAGGGTGGTGTGTGCGTGTGTGTGTGTGTGTGTGTGTGTGTGTGTGTGTGTGTGTGTGTGTGTGTGTGTGTGTGTGTGTGTGTGTGTGTGTGTGTGTGTGTGGGGGGGTCGGCTTCGTTTCTGGGGCTTGCAGGTTGGCACCAACACCAACATCGGCGGTCGCCTCCTCCAAAGGAAGATGATCCCGGGCTTAAGCTATTACCACAAACGCATTTTTTTTTGATCGTCTCCCCCCGGCGGAGGTAGGCCCCCGTGTTGGTGTTGGTGCCCATTTCCAAGCTTCCGATTGTTGGCTCCATGCCGTTTTTTTGTGTGTCCGAATTTGGACATGCGTTCCAGCCTCGCGTGCGAAGTTCTCGGAAAGCTGGCCTTCCACGAACACGTGGGGACGTCACGCGCTCGATTTTAGAGGCCCGCATTTGGCGCCAGCGTCTTTGAGACGAGCCCGACTACGCCGTAGACGCACTCGACAAACTCGGCACGTTGTTGCAGCAATAGTCTTTCCACCCCTACCATAATTAGCGTTCTCTTCGTTGTCGTCCTCCTCTTGCCTTTCTTGATTGTACACCTCCTCCAACGTATCATCCCTCCCAATCCTGGTCCTCTCCATCTTCCAAAACTCAAGGAAAAAGGTCGCGGGGAATTTGGTGGCAGCGAATCTTGCTGTCTTTGCGTCCACGGTGCACGCGTTGGCTCATCAATCCGATGTCCATCTTGCCGTGCCCTTTAATTCGATTCTTGCCCTAGCGTGCCGAAATCGCCGCAGCGTCCCGAGCCAAAGATCTTGGCAGTAATTCGACAGCAAGGCTGCGCAGCCCTCATGCATGAAGTTCATCATAATTCGAGCAGCTCCTGCTCCTCCTGGGTGGTGGCTACCTTCGTACCCATCCGCTCCAGGTAAGTCCAATCCATCGAGTAGGGGTCTGGTGCACCCAGTGTACGGAAGACGTGCGGCATTATATTCCCAAGCCAAAAAGGCCTTGGCGAGAATTCGACAGCAGGGCCGCACGGGCCTCATTCATTTTCAGCAGAGAGCAGCTCCTGCTCCTCCTGTTGTGGTTGGCCTTGTATCCACTCCGCTCTGGGGAAAACCCATCCAATCCATCGAGTACTGGTGCGTCTTCCAACCCGATCGAATCAAACCCCATCCCAGGCATTTCCTGGAATCTGTGCAGCACAAAAGGAATCTTTATGGGAGCCCCCTCCCGTCGCTCCCCACCCCTCTCCCCCCCCTCCTCTTCTCCCTCCCGGTCAACCCCCCCCATGGATTCTTGTTCCAGGGGCGCGTGCCGGGTCGCAGTCGTGGCGACGAGGGCGCCCCCAGGAGGCCTGAACTCCTTCGGGGTGGGTCTCTCGAGGGCCCCCCCTGCGGACCTCCTCGGGGGCCTCCCGGAGGCCTCGGGCCTCGTGAGGGCCTGCTGGAACTGTTCTCGGAGGCTATCTTTGGGGGCGAGGGCTCTCAGAGCCTTTCGGGCCCATCCTGGGGCCTTCCTTGGTTCTCGGGTGCCTTTTGTTCCCCTCTTCGGCACGCTCGGGGCGTCTTGGGGAGAACTTGGCATCCTCGTAGACCGTCTTGGGCGCTCCTGACTGCGAACATGCAGACATGCAATACACCCATCGGACATCTTAAGTCAAAGCATCTGCAACTTCCATGGACTCCAGACTTCGTTCTCAGAATATCAATACTCCGGACTTGACCCTCGGCGTTTTCTTGGAGCTTTTCTTCGTGGAAGCACGTGTATGTGGACCTGGATTGCTGGTCAAGAACGCGCTTCGAGTGAAGTCGGCTTTCTTAGCGTAAACTGTTCGTACCTCTGAGCTGGGGTCTGCTCACGCAGGCGTGCAGAGGTCTTCATGATTTCAGCCTCTTGGGCCAGCCCTTTCTCTTGGCGTAAACTTTTTCTTACCTCTCATGGGGTGTGCCCCACGCAGGCATTCCGAGGTCTCCCATGCTTTGACGGGTTGGCTTTTCCACCACCACCACCACCACCACCACCACCACCACCACCACCACCACCACCACCACCACCACCACCACCACCACCACCACCACCACCACAGGTGTGACAGGGGAGAAGGAACTCGGAACTCGGAACTCGGACCTCGGAAATCCGCGAAACGACGCCAGAGGGCATCGTTGCCGAGGGTGCGCACCGCGCTGAAGACGCCATGCAGACCGAGGGTAGAGGGAAGGCTGGGGAGGTCCTCCTCCTCCTCCTCCTCCTCCTCCTCCTCCTCCTCCTCCTCCTCCTCCTCCTCCTCCTCCTCCTCCTCATGCTCCCGCTCCTACCTGTGGCAGTGGCGGTGGAACGAACATCGGCCCACCATGCCTTCCGCCTCTTTTGCGGCCAGCGCCCCGGGCCTCCAGGAAGCTGCCGACGGGGCGGGCGGAGCGGGGAGGCTCTCGCGGGGAGGCCTGCTGCCCCCTCGTCGGGCCCCCGGGCAAGGTCCAGGCTCGGGGCGTCGGGCCCCGGCTGCAGGCCAGCCAGGGTGGACCGGGACGGCCCTGTCGACTGCACGCAGGAGTGAGCTCTCGCCGGAGTGACCTGTGGTGCGGGCCCAAAGGGGCCCCCCGATCGCGGGACGCGATAGGATAGCAGCGTCTTGCGCGCTCGTATTATTTGGGCCCCACCGCGGCCCCCAGAGAGCCGCGTCCCAAAGGTCACTCTTACCCGGGGTCACCCCTGCGTGTAGCCGAACCTGGGAACCGACGCGGAGAGGCTGTTGATCGGGGGCAGCATGGAGTTGGCTCCTCAGTGCGCTGCTCCGGGGGTGGTCCTCGCTTCCAGGGCAGGGTGCCTCTGCTGCCCACGCGGGGTCGCTCGGATGTCTGCGGACCAGGCGGACCCACACTGTTTCACTGAGCTGCCGACGAGTGCCGTGATGTCCCGCCTGCGCTTCAGAGGAGGACAAGGCACCCGCACCGCTTCCCTTCCCTCGTTTTTGCCCTTTTTGGGCCTCCTGGGAGGCCCTCGTCGCCGCCGCCGGATTCGCATCGGGTCGCACCTGCGTGTGGTCGATTCTCTTAACCTTCCGGTTTCCCTCGTGGCTTCCTCCGCGGCTGCAGCCCCTCCCCCCCCCCGTGCTGGCTGGCGCAGTAGGCTCTGCTGCGCCCCGGCTGCTGCTGCATGGCGCTCCGCGTCCTCGCGTCGCCGCTGGCAGGCACCAGGTCGGGCCTGTCCCCCTGCGGGGGGATTTTGAACGAAGCATCAAACATAGTCAAACACATGGTTCTTCAACCAGTGCTCAGACATATTTAACAAACAATCGTCCCCTGACTATTTTTGGACTATTCTTGAACAGTCCTCCTGTACAGTCGGGGCCTTGAAGAAGGAACCCTTTTCGCTGGGGAGGGGCTCCGTGTTCCTTGATTGTTTCAAAGTTTGCCTCGGGTGTTCCTGAGGGTTTTCGACAGGAAATCGAAGGTTAACTTATGGAATAAATGGGGCCTCGTTCCTTATTTAGGGTTCCTTAGGTCAACGCCCCGACTGTGGAGGCACGTGCCCGACCCCAGGCAGGCCCGCCTCCGTGCCCAGACCCCCCGGGCGCCGTGCACCGCATCGCGGCGGGAGGCTTTTCTCGCCGCTCTCTCGGCCTGCGGGGGCCCCCTTACCGGGGCCCCAGGGTGAGAAGCCGGGTCCCCGCGGAGGGTCAGGAGGGGGAAAAAGAAAACACACACAGACACAAGTCATCTTCGCCTCTTCAGAACATCTGGGAAAGTATGGGGAAGTGGGGGGGGAAGATGAAGACCTAGAACATATGGGTCCCCAAAATACACACCACCACCACCTCCCTCCCCCCCCTCCCTCTCGCTGGAAAGAGGAGAGAGGAGGAATCGACGTGGTGGTGGTGTATATTCTTTGGGCCCCCCAAAATATGGGAACACATGGGGAATCTGGTGACTTGTGTGTGCATCTGTTTCTGTGTCCCAGGGCCCCTTCGCAAACCCCGCGACGCCGGGGGTCCGGGTGCCCCGCCGACGGGGCTCGGCTGCGGGGAGGGGGCGGTCGCGGCGCTGCCGCGCAGTCGGCCCCGCGCGGCGCCTCGCGCTGCTCGGCCTCGCCCCTCGGCGCGCGCGCGGCGGCCTTCGCGGTCTGAGGGCGCCTCCCCTCGGGCCGGACGAGAGGGGGGGGGACGGACGAAAGGGGGGGAGGAGGAGGAGGAGGAGGAGGAGGAGGAGGAGGAGGAGGAGGAGGAGGAGGAGGAGGAGGAGGAGGAGGAGGAGGAGGAGGAGGAGGAGTTACGGAAAGGGGGGGTACGAAACTTGCTGCGTGCAGCTGGTTTCGGCCTCACCACGGAGCTCATTCGATTGATGCGTAGCCGCCTCCTGCGCTGGGGGGCGCCGGGAAAAGCAGCTGCGCGTGCCGATCTCCCCCCCCCCCCCCCTTGCTGCCCCCCCTTTCACCCGACCCGAGACTCCCTCCCGCGTCCCCTCCGGCCCTCCCTCCCCGCGCTCCCGTGGTGCCTAGCTGTGCTCCAGCGCGTCCCGCCGTTTGGCGCTCTCACGGCCGCCGAACCACAGTCCGCGAAGCAGGCACCGCAGGCGCCGCACACACACAAGCTTCTGCACAGCAGCATGTTCGGGGCATGCCTTCGGAGGCCACGTCGCGCCAGAGTGTTGCGCGAGTCGCTCTTAGCGTTTACTGTGCGAGCGGGACGTGCACTGCCTGAAATGCAGGATGGTTCTTTATCTCAAGTTCCATGTCATTGCGGGGCTCCCGGTGTGCTCGCGGTCGCTCAATACCATCGCGGTGCTCAGTGCCAGAGGGAGTCTTCGGGTGAACGATGAGGGGTTGAGTTGCTTGTGGATGGATAAGCAGTTGCAGAGGGGAGAGTGCCTGATCCATGGTGGGCCAAAGACGAGGGTGTGCACAGGTACCGCGGGCTTGCTGCGCGCCGGCAATATTCTGAAGGCTTTCGCAGGCCTCCCTAGCGCTTACCTTATCGAGCGATTTTGGCGTTCGCGTAGTTGTTTGTCTGATTTCCAGACTTGTTGTTGTAAGCGACACCCATGCGGACAAGGCAGAGTATGAGGCCATATGGGGGAACCGTATTGTGCACACAGAGGAGGATGGTAGGGCCTTGATGCTGATGGTAGGTCTGGCTTGAAAAGCGGTGATAGCAAGTCCAGCCTTGCAGCCGAGGCGCGGGAGGATAATCCAACCAGCGCGAGCCCGCGGACGAGGTCGACTCCTGTCGCCAAGCAAGGGGCAGGGTCCAGAGGGGGAACCTCATCAAGGCCAAGCTTGGAGGCCATGAAATCCCAACAGGCATCTGGCAGGGCGGTAGCCGACCCTACCCGCCCGACTTGACAGGATGGGTGCCAGGAGGAGGAGGAGGAGGAGGAGGAGGAGGAGGAGGAGCTGGAATGTAGTTGAGGAGGAAGAGAAGGAGGACCAGGAGGAGGAAGATAAGGAGGAGGAAGAAAAGGATGATGATGCTGATGATGATGATGATGATGATGATGATGATGATGATGATGATGATGATGATGATGATGATGATGCTGATGATGATGATGATGTGATGATGATGATGTGCTGATGATGATGATGATGATGATGCGATGAGATGATGATGATGATGATGATGATGATGATGATGATGATGATGAGGATGATGATGATGATGATGATGATGATGATGATGATGATGATGATGAGGAGTAGGAGGAGGAGGAGGAGGAGGAGGAGGAGGAGGAGGAGGGAGGAGGGGAGGAGGAGGAGGAGGCAGGAGGAGGAGGAGGAGGAAGAGGATGACGAGGAGAAGGAGGCGGACCAGGAGGAGGAGGAGGAACAGGACGAGGAGGAGGAGGGGGAGGAGAAGGAGGAGGAAGAGGAACAGGACAATGATAACAGGAGCAGGAACAGGAACAGGTGGGAAGTGCTGAGGGACGAGGAGGAGGATCAGGAAGAACAGGAAGAGCTGGGGGACGAGGAGGAAGAGGAAGAGCAGGAGGATAACGAGAAGGAGGATGG